ATCGGTAACAAAAAATTATACACTTTATAGCACTCCCCGGAAAATTCTACCCCTGTTTAATCTACAATTCTTTGAAATTCGGTGAATTATTTCTCAAAAAATTAGAAAAATTAGAAAAACCGGTTTCCAGAAAATCGATAACAAAAAACTATACACATAGTGGCACTCCCCGGAAAATTCTACCCCTATTTCATATACTTTTGGTAAAAATTCGGTTCAGGGGTTTGGGCTGGGCGTTGATGAGTCAGTGAGTGAGTCAGTCAGTCAGGACATCTTCCTTTATATATATATAGATTAATTAATATAAAAATTGTAAATCCCCAAAGAGTAATGAAAGAATATTTCTAGACAATCAAGTACAATCATCGATATATTGCGGAGATAGAACGAAAAAACAACGAGTAGCGCGCTGCAAGATTATCGTTGACGTCGCTGTCCTCATCGTCATTAAATATAATACAGACGATCAGTAATGACGCCACGAACGCGGAAACTCGTGACGACCGCAAACAATCATTTCAATTCGCGGCATCGTCGTTAACAGCTAGAAAGCATTACGTCTCATTTATGGACAGGTGTTGTTGTGGAATCTTGCATCGATGTATTTCCCTGCCGAGCTTTTTGAGATCGAGAGCTCGTGAATAAGATTTTAAGATATAAATTCTTTGGAGAAAAATGTAAAATGCATCAGTTACATAAACATAAAGACCAACAGTCATAATACACAGTCATAACACTTACATAAATGCTAAGGCTGCAATGTGTAATGGTAGTAAAAAAATTAAAGCTGACTAATAATTTTGAATAGACAATTAACACTATTCTGTGCTTTGAAACTAAATGATGCAAAAGTTTAAATAATTTATAAATTATTTAATTAAGGATTATTGAGTTTTGTAATAAAATTTATAGAAAGAGATAAAGAAACAGAGATTTTTTTGCTTTATAAATTCGTTGATTCTATATCACCAGAATTTGATTTTGAAATCAAAATTATTCTAAATTCTTGATTTTTAATTTTAAATTGCTGCGTCAGAATAACAATACTGTTCAAAGCATTTCTATAAAATTAATTAACATTTATGTAAAAAGTTCTCTTACGTCAGCCAAAGACGTGACGCACAAGGGACAAGCCGAGGAGTAATCTAGGCAACGGTCCAGGCACATCCAACAATAGGTGTGACCACAGGATGTCGTGACAGGTTTCCAAAGTAGGCGGCAACATAAGATACAATCCAATTCTCCAGCGGTGCCGCTGGAAAGAGTTGGCAAGAGGATTTCGGCGGGTCTCGGTTCAATTCCTGCAAATAACGTCGTCTTAAGATATTTTTACGAATATAAAAAAAGTATACTCTTATATCCACGGGCAATAATACTTACTTTTCAACTTTTCTATATCCTGATATACACGATCCAAACATGCTTGTATCTTTGTAATTTGCGGCACAATGGAAGACCGAACTCTTCTGTTTATTGTCTGTAAAATAAAAAATATAGTAAATAATTAAGCTTGGAATAATTATGTAAAAGTTGAACAGATGATTAGAAATATATCGATATTTAAAATAAAAATAAAAATTTTAAAAATTAAATATTTCAAAGAATATAATAAAATATAATAAACAAATAATAAAATAAAAGACTGTTAGTACAACTTAAGATACTATTAAGTATTCATTTTACTGTTTGTTATTAATAATAATGACTGTGCTGTCGACGATACTGTACTTTTTACTCCTAATAATACAGATAATACTGTTAATGATAATGACAGTTACTGCAAAATATCTAATAGGCGCTTATCACATTTCTTAATTACTTATGTTAAGTGACATAATCTAACTTGAACCCTTTTTTGTTAAGTATAAAAAATATCTAACAAACATAAAATCAGGTAATTTTCGAAGAAAACACCTGTGTGAATTCTTCTTCGCCGCTGCTGTTGTCCTCGCAATCGGACCTGTTCAGGGCTACGCGTCGGCTACGCTTGGAATTCATTAGCTGATGACGATTCCTCGTGCGTGACGCGCTCTTCGTTAAACTATACGGCGTGCGTGACGACAGGACACTCTGCCGATACACCTTAGGTGACAGTACTCTGTGCAGAACCTGGAACACGACCATTTGGTAACATATGTATCAATCGAATAAGTTTGTACAAAATATAAACCACGCACTTGCAATTACCAAACCAAATTGATTTTTCCCCAAAATAAATTTAATATTGTTAATAAAATATTTTACATAAGATAAAATATAATATGAATTATATCCTAGAAATAAGTTAATTTAATTTATATACTCATTTTTGATACTCTTTATTGTGAGATATCTGATTTAAAAAAACGTGCTAATTTTTTAAATATTATATTAGGATTTATAGATAATTATCGAACTTTTCAAATCCCATTAAATGTACAATTATATTAAATATGTATAGAATAAGTACATGAAAAGGGTTAATGTATATATGCTAAGCTAATTTTAAACTAATTTTTGCCAAAAACGCAAAATTTTGCAAGATGCGAAATTTTTCCTGAATTTGGGTTCGAAATACAATAAATTATCATAAGAAGATAATTGAGTCGTTATTCCAACATAAGAACTCAACATTAATAGAACATCACAAATAAGGATTTAAACTTAAGGATAAAACTTTCGCTAACGATGTACAAATTCTACTTGTTTCTTCAATAGCACGTATTTCTTCCTTGACGTGTCCTATATATGAAATGCTTCTAATTGCAAGATCGCGACGGATATTCAACTGGTCGCTAAATCGACGCGATTAACGCATGAAATAACACGGTTGAGTAATCCGAGACGTTTTCGGACGATGAAAGTAAAAGTGCACCTTCCATAATGCGGACCCAACCAACGGATTCAGCGGCACGGGAAAAAATGATTCCCTGATCTTACATAAGTGGCGGTGCAGCTTGCATCAATGATTCTGCCATCGCTTATGTAATCGCTGTACGTTCGAAATTCAACACGCTCCGCTTTTTACATTATTTAGCTCAGTTCGAAATTTGACGCAATCTGTCGCATTAAATTATTTAATAGTTATTATACGCAATCGCATTTCTTCGAGCTTAGCAATAATATTTGCGTGACGCAATATTGCGAAACTTAATGACATCGAGTAGTTTCAAAGTTAAATATTGATCGGAATACGACATCTTATACTTATAGATCGGACATCAGGTTTACAATAAATTTTTAACAAGTTATGTCGGTTTTAACGATATATAAAAATTTCAGGGTAATTTAAGATACCGTTCAAATCTTTACGTAAGAAATTCTCCGCACAACAGAGCTGGATTTGCAGCGAGAAGCTTGTTACATGTATCTCAAGACGAGAAATTGATTAACAAATAAAGCTTCCCGAAAAGATGTGAATGAGAAATGTGCAGCACTTAAAAAATTCGACGTAGAAGAAAAGCATTTTGCATTATATACGAGAGGGTGAAAAACGCAGCGGGTGCGGGGCCGTGCGTCACACGCCGGAAGATCGATATATCGACGCCGTCGCGTGAAACAACACGTGGAAACACTGGAAACGGCGCGTTTGTTCACGAGAGTAAAATCAGTTCGCTCGCTTGCGCGAATGTGGTTATCGTTGCCCCTGGCGTGCGGGTCACTCACCTGACGACCATCGTATCGAGTCATTAAGCCTGCGCGGCCGGCAGCAGTCGTGCCGGAAACGCCGCGGCGCGCATTTCTTTTGTGTTGGTGATGCTCTCCGGATAGAGATGGATGCATTCGGTTCCCCGCGGCGCATTCCGCCAGTCGCGCGATAGCGATTGCTCCGCGAGGAACGTGGATCCCTTACCTATGATCGGGCTACGGTTCGTCTTATCTTTTCGTTTTTTGGTTTATAAAAATATTATGAGAACTGATAAATTTTTGTGTAACACGATTCGAATATGTTTGAAGTGAATCGAGTTTATGACTCGATGATTTTTTATTATTGAAAGATTTTCAATTACACACAATGCTATTTATTGGAAAATAATTGATGCTGCAGGTGCAGATAACCGATTAATTTTAAGTATATTCCAGTTTTAATGTTATCTAAAGTCATATTTCTTTAATTAATTATTATTTTTTAAAATAATATTTTTATTAATAATGAAACATACATATGTATTTTGCGAGTGTCTCGTAATTGGAACAAGTATTTCACTAACTTTTAATAATTTTTGATAATAAATTATTTTAGGTTATTTTTATAATAAAAAGCAATGAGAAAACGTACCTTAGTCAATTCATGACGCACAATTTGCGGATTTTTGTCAATGGCCACGCTAATGCAGAGAGCATAGAGCGCTTCTTCGTGTCTTCCAAGCGCCGATAAAGCGATCCCTCTTCTATAATGTCCCTGAAAATATAAAGTAAAACTATTAAAATTAAAATATTATAAAAAGTTTTGTAATAAGCTTTATTTCTAAATAAAATTTATGTGCCGCAATAATTTAATAATTATCTTTATGTCACACGTGCATGGAAAGTGGCCTATCACGCACGCGTCGCGTGCGTAATGGGCCACTTTTCACGCACTTGCAACATAAAATAGGGTATGCAACACGTGCGTGAAGTTGAAAATTCCCGGGTGCGGTGACCGGGACCGGTGACCGTGCGTCAACTCCGCACCCGTGAATTTTCATCTTCCAGCACTTGTTGCACAAATAACTATTATATAACAGTAATAAGATCATAATAAAATTTATACTATTATATGCGCGGAAATGTTAGTAAAATTAACGTTGCTACTACTACAACATATTTTACATATACATATGTCACAAATTGATAAATCAAAGGTTGAGATAAAGATAATATATTTTTAGATATTAGATTTTAATTAAAACATTTTGCCAAGTTGAAATTAGATAAAGGTTACTAAATCAAAATATATTTTGATTGAATGCATTTAGATTTAAAGCAGGCACGTTTTGCTGATACATGTACCGATATATATATAGGCTTTGGTCCTGTATTTCCTCACCTTGCTCCAGTCTGGCCGCAATCTAACTGCATAATCAGCGTCCGTGAGAGCGGCTAAAGGCCTATTCAACAGGAGCAAGACGTGAGCCCTGTTGCTAAGGTGGAGCGGGCTGTTCGGTGCTGAAACATGAGAAAACAAGCTCGTAGAATGCCTACCGAATTGCGAACGAGTTCTGGTTTGAAACGCCTTAGGATTTGTTCTGTGAGAAATAATTGGAATAAATTTATTCTATCCTGAAGTGTTTTAAAAGCAGAGCAGGTATTTGATCAACGTCAGTGAATGCTGTCTTATGACTGGTGACTAGCAGTATGATTCACACATTTCATATGGAACAATAAAGATGCAAAGTAGATATTTTGCAAATAAATTAATAAGTGCATATATTTGGTAGCGCAATCGCTTGTTCTGGCAAATTTTATTTATAATTTGACATATATTCATGGTTTGATGCAATAATATTACACACTTGTATGACATTTAAATCAAATGAGCATTCGAAAGAGCATTGGGTCATTGACGCATAACTCGATGCATATTTTGCATAAGAATGCATTTACGGACTTATTATCGTCTATAAATTCTGAGCGGTTTAAGAGTTTCTTTTTACGCGATTAGCAGTCTGGATTTGTTTAATTTCGTGGAAATTTGTCTCATAAAAAAGCGCCGTTTATTTGCGGCGAAACACATTTCATAGAAGCGATCGCGGACGATGCCATCGGCCGATGGAGGCGGCGTCGGCTCGTTCTCCGATAATGAACAACGCTATTTTATGAGACAAATGTCCACGAAATTAAACAAA